GAGTGGCTGGCAGACCCCAACGGCGTGTGGTACCGGCTGGCAGAGGAGGAGTCGGGCACGGTCGCTGTTCATGTGCAGGGCGCAGGTGAGGAGAGGTGACGACTGCCTTGGGGTCGTGGCCCTGCCATCCCCTGCGTCTTCGGTTCAGCCAAGAGAAAAAGGCCAAGGAGTGAGTGGGACCTGGGTCTCACCTGCATCGGGGCAAGTCTGTGGTGCCAAGTGCTTTTCCAGATCAACTCGATGGCTCATTGCCCAGCTCTTGCTTTGGCTGGAGTATCCACACTGCACTGAGCTCTGTGCTGGGGCTGCCCATCCCACGGCACTTACCACCTGGTGTGTCTCACTCAGTAGGGGCAGACTCTGTCCCCCACTGAGGTTTAACCCTTCCCTTTGGGAAACACCCTGGAAGTTGGATTAGCTCTGCACAGGGGTGCAGGCTGTGGCACAAGAGTCTCGGGTGGTGTACAGGCCCCAGAGATAATTGAGGTCATGAGGGTTTTGTGGGCCCTTAAGGGAGATACTCTGGTGTGCTGCTGCTTTTGTGTAGCACCACTGAGGAAATCAAGGCTTTGCAAGGCTCCTCACTTTCTAAGATATTATAAAATCTCCACCAGGTAGAACTGTATCACTCATTAGACTCTTGGGGGTAAAGCTGAAACATGCCCTGTGATAATTTTCTTCTGTTGCTCTGTTTTCTCACATTGGTATTTTTCTCAGAGCCCCACCTCCTGCATTGACACAGATTAATGAGCGTCTGATTTTTAACATTTCTGAAGAAGTTTGTGTGCCCTGCATTACAAACAAACAGTGAAATGTGACCATCCTGTGTCTCTTTCCAGGCTCCACCCTGCAGTCAGTCATCTGCTCCAACGACGCCCTCTTCTACTTCGTGTTCTTCTACCCCTTCCCCATCTTCGGCATCTTGATCATCACCATCCTCCTGGTGCGATTCAAGAGCCGAAACTCCAGCAAGAACTCAGAGGGCAAGAACGGGGTCCCCTTGCTGTGGATCAAAGAGCCTCACCTCAACTACTCTCCCACTTGCCTGGAGCCACCAGTGCTCAGCATCCACCCGGGAACCATGGACTAAAGAGGCAGAGGCACCTGGGGGGACGCACAGAGGGAAGAAAGCAGAGACACGCTGGGAACCCCAAGGAACAGAGTGGGTTTTGTTGTTCTTGTTTCATTTGTTTCCCTGTCTGTGCTCTGATGCAGAGGCTGAGCTGTGTGGAGTGCCCAGCCAGCAGGAGTGGGAAGGTCCAAGACTTCTTCCAGGACCCGGGAAATGCACCCCCTCATCCCAATGAACAGAGGCACTTGCTGTACATAGAGGATGTTCCTCTTGGACTCACTTTACTCCCATCAGTTGCTGTCTTTTGGGCTGTTACTTTTTTATTGTTTCTTTTTCAGTCACACAGAGAACTGTAGGCTTCCCCTGCCCTCCACACAGCGTGGAGTTCCCAGGAGTCGTTTGGTCCTCGGACAATCTCTTTGGAAGTAAATGTATATGTTTTCCAAAACAGACTGTTTTTCCTTCTCAGACTCAGTGCCATGATGAAGAAGGTCTTTTCTCAAGGTATGCTCTTCCAAAACAGACAAAGCCAGGTCTATCCCCAGAGGGGTTAACTGGGATGTCTTCTGGGAGGTCCATTGCAAAGACTGGCTGTAGCCTCAGCCTCTTCTTGTGTCCACCTTACTGTTCTCTCAGGAGGGAGCAGTTCATCTTTTGGGATCGTTCCCAGGTCTTGGAGAGACTGAACATTCAGCGCGCTTGTGATCAGGACAAAAGCAGTTTAGTGTGTCTCAGAGAACTGAAGGGGGGAAAGGAAGGAGGACACCTGAAAGCCCTGACTTGGTTGGTAGCAAAGAGGGTCCTCATGTGGTCCAGCTTACCAGAGCCATGTTCCTCCCTGGTGTCCATGCTGCCACCTCTGATGAGGCAGATCCCCTCTGTGCCCCAGTCATTTGGGGATGAGAGGCTTGATCCAGTCTCTGAAGGCTTCAACATGACCAAAGTAATGACTCTAGGAAGGAGGAAAGGGGAAGCTCCACGGGTTGGGTTCACAGTCCCCAGATGGTTCAGCCAAGGAGCCCAGTAGCAAACGTGCCATGCAGCGGGGACATGCAGTTCACCACCACGGGTCACGAGTTTTCCTGTGGCTTGCACTACTTCCTGGTGCAAGCCTGGACAAGGCAAGGAGCCTGCAGCACATCAGCACCCTAGGGGCTTCCCTGCCCTTTGGCCAAGAGAAATCTTCCCCTGTGTGTGTGTGCATCTGCTGATTTTCATTTCTGGGACTTCAGGAGGAAAAAGCATTTCTCCGTAAGCTCCCCCTCCTGGCAAAGTCACCTGCTCTTGTAAGAGCCGCTGTGGCAGGAAATGCTGTTCTTTCTGTGAAAGATATGGCTCTCATGAACCAAACCAGGGCTCTCGCCACGTGGGGCACCTGAACTCCTGTACTCCTGATGCCAAGAACCCCTGCCCTGTCCTGTGGAGGAAACCGCCTCCTCCCCCCTACGGCCTAAGCGTTACGTCTGGCGGAAGGAAATGTTTGCCAAAAACGGCCTTTTGTTGTCTTCCTTGATGTCTTCCTGGCAAATCCGGCCATTTGTATTTTTGCAGCATGGCTGAAGCCGACCAGGGGTGGACGGGCACAACCACAAGACCCCCCCTGCCTCATGTGTGAGAGGTGCCATATACCCACAGCCGTTGTCCTCTCTGGGAGGGTCGGACTGCTCTTTGTGAACAGAGGGGACCTCAGCAGATGCTCTGTAGCACTAGTCAGACCCTGATGCCTTGGTGTTTCAGAGGTGGTGAAGCTTCAGGTAGGAGATCTACACCACTCAGCCTCTCTCCTGTGTGGGAGAGGACCCCGTGGCTGCAGATCAACCCGTGCTAAGGCATTTGAAGTTGGCCACCTCTGCACCTCTACCATAGGTTTCTTCTTCTGCTGGGAAGCCCAAATTTCACTCGTCCCTCTGTGAAGTCTGCCTCCTCGAGACGTAACTGCTTGCTGGCCCCAGCATATGCATAAAGTCACACTCCTATATATGTATGTATGTATCGCACACCCGCACACTTGTCTTCCCTTTCTGGCTGAGGTGTCTGCAAAGAGAGGAGTGGGGTGAGAAGTGAATGGAAATGAAGAACCGAGGTGCAAACAGCAGCAGCTGCAGCCAGTGGGTATTGTTTCATATGTACTATCTCCTGTACATACTGCTCCCGGGCAGGGACCGCGACTCATTCCAACTCCAAGGAAGAAGAGAAAATGAAGTCAGCAGGAGCCATTCTTCCCTGGGAGAGCCCTGCTCTGCGTCTGAGCCACGCTCCTCCTTGCCAGCCTGTCTGCCCCACAGCAGGGCTCTCCTGCAGGGCTGTCCCATGGCCCCGTCCCCCTGGCTGGAACAGGTCCCTTCCCAGCCTGGTGGTTCCTGCACAGAGCCCAGGCTGTCCTGGGAAGCAGCTTCCCACGCTGGTCCCTGAATGTACCTTGCCAGTGACATTTCTCCATTGCTCTGGCAGTGTGTTGCCCAGTCTCAAACTTCTCTCTGTTTTTATAAGGCAGACTCTCTTCCTGTAACATGGAGCTTTTCAAACCACTCTCTCTGCTGTAACTTTCTGTAATGAACCTGAGAAGAAAGAGAGATACCCTATCCATGCATGATGTGGAAAAATGTTTGGGATTTTTTTTTTTAAGAAAACAACAAAAACTTTGTACTATGTTGCACTAAAACATGTTTTATACAACACACCTGAGAGCTGTAGTAAACTGTGTTGAAATTGTGAATCCTATTGCTGCTGCTTTTTGTCAGATTTGGGCTTTTGTTATGCCTTTATGTGCACTCCCTGCATAAGGTGTGGAGGCCCCCTCTTGGGCAACCTCTCCCTCTTCCACTGCCACCATTCCTTGGTGGATTAACTCTCCTCCCACCCTAGTAGAGCTTCTCCTCTCTTGCAGGTTGAAACTTGCAGACTCCATGCACCCTCTGGCTCTTCATACTTCTCCCTTCTATCTCCCTTAATTCATACCATAACAGAATATAACATTTAAAAGAGGCCTGTCAGGTCTTTTTGTTGAATGGGATACACTGTTTTTTGAATTGCTCCGAAAACAGTTAAGTACTTTGCTGTGTCATAGCCTGGATTTGAAGACAACCCTTCTTTTATATAGAATTATGCATAGCAAATGTGAAGCAAGTAATCTTTAGTAACATTGATGAAAGCAGAAGAATACAGTTCACTACAGAAGTTGATGCAAAATGCAACCTGTTCATTCTCATTACCCACTTTTACTGTGAGTAAGGATTTGATCAGGAGTCTTGAATTCCCACACTGACTGAAATGGGGAAGTAGCATGATGCATCCCTACCTGCAGTGCAGAAGTGCTGTGGAATTGTGCAAAACACACTGCTCACACAGGTCGGGTTTGAGCAGGTTTTTTTCCACATTCATTTAAAACAAAAAAATACTCTCTGCTAAAATAATTGTATGACAAAACTCTTGTCATCCCCCCTTCTCCCCGCAGTAGGTTGCCTTGGGGTTCATCTGCTCTGGTCTCTGTGCTAAGCAGCAGAGGTTTTAGCTCCACAGGTGCCCAGTGCTGTGGCAGTGTGTCCCCGTATCAGGTGACAAGCTTGGCCAGAGCTGTTGCAGCTTTGCCAGGAGGCATCTCTGCCAGCCCACTGTACGCTCCCTGTGGTCAGGTGTGCATCCCTGATCCCCTGGCACGCTCCTATGGGCAGGTTTGGGGCAGCCTGAGTGAGTTTTGCTGCCTGCCCTGCTGCTGCAGCAGGACCAGCAGTGCTGCAGTGGGTGCTCCTGCTCCCCCTGAGGACCAGACGATGCGCAGCCGCCCTGCAGCGGAGGAGAGATGTCTCGGGGCTTGGCTGCTCAAGGGACTGCTGTGTGCTCCCATCAGACCGCCTTGTGACTGCTTCCCCCCACCCACCAGCCTCAACCGAGAGCCGACATGGCCTCCCCACTGAAGCCAACACACATGCAGAGAGAAAAGGCTCACAAGCTTTAATCCAGTGGGTCTGCAGAGCAAGCGGGAGGGGCGGTGGGTAAGCGCGCCCATGCTGCCCCCTGCCTAGAGCTCGTACAAGCCCTTGGCTACCTTCTCCAGGCGGTCCTTGTACTCCAGGTGGGCGTAGAGGGGCAGGGGAACCCCCTTGAAGCCATGTATGACCCCCCACCAGCAGGCTGCGATGGCGGCAGTGGAGTCGCTGTCGCCCCCGTGGAAGAAGGCGCGGAGAGCCAGCTCAGTCCAGGAGTCGCCCGCGCCCAGCAGCGCGTCGTAGGCGATCATGGGGGCGTCGTGCCCACTGCTGCCCGCCCAGCCGTCGTAGCTCAGCGATGTGTAGAACTTGTCCCTCTCTTCCACGCCATACTTGGCGGGGAAGGTGGGCAACGAGACCCCATCTGATATGCCCCTCCTCACCAGGTATCTTCTCCACTGGTCTTCAAAGTAGTACCTGTAAAACAGGAGATGGGATGGAGCGGCTGTAAGAGATGTCCCAGGGCAGGAGCACGTACCTGAGCTCTGCGCAGGCGCCACGCCAAGAGCTCGGAGCAATGGCTCGGCAAAATGGTAGGTGTCCCCCCTTGGTCAGACTAGGGACATGATTTACAGTAAGAGGCACAAGGACATGTTTCGGTGAGTTAAGACTTTCCCTCCCTCCAGCCACATGGGAGAAGGCAGCCCAGCACCTGCTGCTGTCGTGCTGCACAGGATTCAAAGGCTCAGAGTGAGAGGTGAGTCATCCTCCCAAATTCAGAGTAACTCTACCTCTGTGCCCCTGCACACAGAGCCGCAGTGGATCTGCAGCCACATTTGATTATAACTTTCAAACTGAACTCAGCCCTAAGCCTGATGCTGTTCCCCAGCCCTGCTTCACCTCTTTCATCAGATCATGGTTGCTTGAGATGACAAGTCTACCTACCTCATACCGGATCAAAAAAAAGTCACAACTATGTGACTCAAACACAAGCTGCCTTTGTCTTTTTTTCCCCCCAGGTTAGAGGTATTCTGAACTGATTTGATCCCACAGCAGGCATGTGCTGCTCTAGAGTTTACCATAACAGAATTACTGACACTTCAGGGTAAGCAGGGCTTTAGGAAAGGGCGGTGCTGGGAGCACAGCTCACCAGTGCTCCATGTTCTCCTTCACGAAGAAGCCGCTGTTCCGCACGTAAGTTTTCGCCCGCGGCAGCGTGTCCAGCAGCCCCTTGCCCCAGGCCTGGGGGGGCACGCTGTTCACCGCGTAGGACGTGAAGAGGGCTGAGGCCAGGGCCCCCAGGTAGCCCGTGGGGTGGTGGTGGGTCATGCGGCCGCTCTCGATGCTGACTTGCAGCAGGGTGTGCCGCTCCTCGGGGTGGTAGAAGCGCAGCCCGATGGACATGGCGCGCATGGCACCCCCGCAGCCTCCCGCCTGCGGGTTGAACGGGATCCTCCAGCCGTTCGGCTTCTCCGGGCGCAGCTTCTTTGTGCCTTCCATAGACGTCAAACCTGGACAGAAGCGGCAGAGCCCGGGAAAAACAAAAGGAAACGCGCATCAGTAGGACACAGGGTCACGTAGCTTGGGAACTAGGGGAAGACAGGCAAGGTGGTGGGGAAGGAAGCATTACTCTGTAAGGGATTTGAGATTCCTTTTAAAAACACCAGTTGTCTGCACACCTGGGTATCCTGCCTTAAACTGCTGCAGCACCCTGTATGCTCCCAAACAGACCTGATAATTACTGCTTGTGAAAATAATTTATAAGTCTAGGAGGTAAGAAACACTACTGCTGATTTACTGGCATTGTTTATGTTTACATTTCATGATATTTAATAACTTATCTATAAAACATATACACTAATAGATCAGATATATACACATCTCTTTCTCTCTCTTTCTCACCCCTTTCCCCCCCAAAAGGGTTTGTAGGATCCCTAACACAAGGCAAGTGTAAGTAACTCTGCTTTTTCAGTTGTTTTACCTGTTTACAGGATCTTTTAAAGGCAGAGACCCCATTGCCTCACTGTTAGGAAATGTTTTCCAGCTCTCCCTTGCTGGAGTTTAGGTTTGTCTGAACATCCCGTGGTAACCAGACCCACCGTTTTGTTATGGAAGGTGTTTTCTTTTGTTTCAAACCACCATTAGACAATTTCCTTAAAATCCCCTCTAACCCTTACAAGAAGTATCGACTTTTCATGTTCTGGCTGGAACTTTGAGAAAAACGTTTCTTTAGGACATGTTTGGGCAGGTTGAGACCACACACCTCAGTCCTTGATAAAAAGTGAGATTGTTCTTGCATTAACTGTAGTTAAAATGAGGAAGATGACAAGGCTTTAAGAGTAAAGAAAGACTGGTTATTTTGCATTACAATTTGCTTGCAGCTTTAAGCCTGTGCGTATCGTTTTAGGAGATGACTACTGATAACTTGCAAGTGGAAAAATCGTGTAAAACGAACCAACATATGACAGCTAAGACTCTTGAGGATTTATGAAGTATTACAAGTATTATCCTCATGCTTTTAAACAGTTAAAATATTAAAACATTTGAAAGCCGATTTAGGAAGACTAAGCTGGAATCACGTCAGTTCTCTTTCTAAAAACAAGTTCTTAAAAAAAACTGCTGTAGGAGTTTTTGAATCAGGAAATTGTTTTGGAAATCCACCAAATCCTGGTTAGGAATCGATTGTGCTAACAATAGGAAACTAAAAGTAACCTGAAGGGGTTTCTGGTCTAAGGAAAGGAGAAATACAATCAAAAAGCAGTGTGTGAAGAAAGGCAACCTGAAGAAGTTTCAGGAACAACTATTTCTGGAATAGGCTTCCATTCCACTTATCTAGACTCATCGTGAGCACAGACAGTAACAGTTGTTTGAGACTGATCAATACACTGAAAAAAGGTGAGTTAACCACATAGTGGTAAATAATTCCACAGGCAGAGGACTTGGACTGAAAGACAGAGTTTTGAAGCAGAAGGCCTCCTGGAGAGGCAGATGTGACTTGAACCATGAAAAAAGAAGTACCTCCATGCTTGTGTTGCTTAATTCATTGGCTTTGTAATCTGCAAGGAACAATGAATTTGGGGCTGTGGTGCATCACGAATAGCAATAATGACTTCACTTCTGGGGCTGCATCCCTGAGGGACTCTGCTGTGGCTGTCCAATGACTCATAACGTTGTGGGAATCCCTTTGTTTCTGCAGGTTTTGGTTTTCAGGTCTGGGCTCCCTCGTGGGCGATCAGTGTGACTTTCCCCTACTGTTACAGGGAACTCTCTTCTCTGTTTGATGAAAGTTCCAACAGCAACTTTCCATTCTCAGCCTTCAGGGCTGCAATTCCCCAGTGAGCACTTACTTAGGCCAGAACAGCACCACCATGGTTTATGTTCTCAGTTAAAATCCATTTATTCTGAGCTGCCAAAAGAAGTTATTGGCGTGCAACCTCTATCATCAGGATCTATCAATACGGCATGGAGACTCCAGACTGCAGACAGCTTTTGAGGTTATGGATTAGGTATTCCCTTTGATAGCACATCAGTGGGCATTAAACTGCTAAGGGTCAGAATTTAAGCTCTCAGAACTGAGTGCCTTTCCTGTGGCTGCATCAGGAACAATCTGGAAGGCTGCTGCAAAAACATTCCCAACAGACTTCCATTTTTTCCACATTTCTTTCCCCACTTCCCCCAAACTTTTACGGTGTTCAAGTGTCCTTGGACCCACTAAAAAATGTGCATTTCTTTCTTTAGCTAGATAACCTGACCTTTCCTTGTCACTCCACTTCGTGTCCATAGCAAATTTGCTTTCAAATTCTTCACTTCCAAATGGAAGCTGCTTTTGGGCATATTGCTCTTCACTTACTCCCAGAAGAACCGCAGCAGGTGTGCTATTATCCTTAGCTACTAATTACTAACATTTAAACTTTAGGTCCTTTTTCTTTTCATTTCAGGGTTTAGTCACCAAGCTTAGATGGTGGAGGTGAAAATACCTTCCATGTGCTTTGTCACTCTCTGCTGTGGTTAGTCCACCTTGGCAGACCCCATCAGCTGGGGAAACTAAATGATGCTCCTTTGTCAAAACAGCAGTGAATCTCTTGGAATTTTAACCTGCCAACTCCTGCTATCCTGACAAGCATCATTACTCCTTCCTAAATATTTTATTAATTAGGCCAACAACTGGAGCTACCTGTGTTAAAGAAGACTGATAATTTAATTCTTTACCCATGGGTAGGAGGTCACTGTGGAAAGGTAAGCAGAATAAATTCCTGCTCAAGTCTCCAACCTGGTTTATTTTGGAAATGCTCAGTGGCAATGCAGGATTTGGCCTTTCCCATGTTTAATGTCAAGCAAGAACATTCTTCATGTATTCTGGCCACTCCAAATAAGCAGGTCCAGGCATACATACAATTCCAATGTATAAACTTTGCCTAGGATTGCTGAATTTGAGTGTTTCCAGGATACTTCACGCTTCCTGCACTAGTCAAATTAGAGGTCCAGCCTCAGCACTCCAATTTAATTCAAGCATCCAGAACAGGCTGGGCCACGAGCACAGAGACAGACAGGATCCTCGGGGAAGAGCTGGGTCAGCAGGTCTGGCTGAACTAGGAACTACAGGGATATGTTGTACATGGCTTGACTACTGCAGCCTGTGAAGGTGCCCTTCCTGAATAGTGCCAGGTCCACTGCCTGTGACACAGACCCAGCACCACTGTGTCTAGGCAGAGAAAAGAGAGATGCTGGAAATAAAGGGTTCAGGGAAGAAGACTGTGGCCTGACTATCCTGTCACAGAAAGTAGATGTGCCAAGCAAGCCACAAGCAGACTTTGGGTTTAATAAACATAATTACTCCAAGCAAAGATCTTTGTGACTTTAATTATATTTTGCATGGAATTTCTGCATTTTTTAGGAGAAGTTCTGTATTAATTCTCTGTTTAAATGTGTTGCATTAATACAGCATCTCAGGCTGTGCATTACACGTGGTTGGATTTGCATTTTTTTGTCCACTGAGTGTAGGCATCCTCAGTGCAAAAGCCATCATCCTTCCCTTGCGTTCAAGGCTAGGCCTCAAACACACCTGTAAGAATGTTCTGTAAACATGGGCAAAACAGTATCTTTTTCACCTACTTCAGGAGAAGCCCAAACCACTCCAGCTTGCCTTATGCTGTCCTCTTTAGCTCATCCTGAAACAGATACTGAGCATGGAACACTTTTGCCTTTAGGTGAAATACAGTTAACGCTGTCAACAGCCAAAAGCAGGGCCAGGGCCAGCCTCAGCTCCAAGCTGCAGGAAAGACACCAGCGACAGCACAGCCCTGCCCAGACAGTGTGACGGAGGGGTTACCTGGAGCTCTGCCATCCATGTCATTCATGCACTCCTTGTAGTGCTTTGCAAGCAGAGAGTAGAGATCCTGTAGCCTGGGGTGACGTCCAGCAGCTAGGAGGGCTTCGGCCGTGGCCAAGTGCATCACCGTGTCATCGCTGACTCTCCAACCTTCAATGCTCAAGTTGCCGAGCCCCCCTAGCTCTGCCAGCTCCCTGTGGATGGCTGAGCCACTGTGCTGGAACTCCCACTTCCCATTGTTATAGCCCAGCGTGTCAGCAACTGCGCTGAGCACCATCGCTGCCACATAGTTTTCCAGCTTCTTAAGAGACGTTTTTTGCCCCCGGACTGATTCAAAGTAGAAAACCCTTTGAAAGGGAAAAAAAAAAATAAAGAGAGAGAGAGACATTGAAAATAGAGTCTTTCCCAGTTCAGTACAGGCCTGTACTGCTAAGCTCCAGCAGGCTGGATACCCTGCCTAGCACCTACGTCTCACTCGGAGGATCTCTTTCTTCACAGCACATGCCTCCCTGTGCACCCACTGTTGTAAGTGCGTGGCAGCTCCCAGACAGCCCAGCCCTGGGCCAGGGGCAGCCAGACATGTCCTGCTGGGACGGTGGCAGCAGCCCAAGACAACGCCACGTGTCGTACCTCGCTGAAAGGTCGAGATCCAAGGGCAGGACTGCAGAAGCGTGTGCAGCTTATGTGACCACAACCATGTTCCCCACCCTTTTAAGGGCAGCCAGCTCAGAACTGCACCCAGCGACTTTTGTACTCTGGGGTAAGGCAAGGCTGACCCTCAGGACAAAAGTAAGGGGTGGGGGGTAAGCATGGAAGTAAGGCAAGGCTGACCCTCAGGGCTACAAAACCAAGGGTTTTATGGGGTAAGTATGGAAGTAAGGCAAGGCTGACCCCCAGGGTACAAAAGGAAGGGAGGTATGGGGTAAGTGTGGAAGTAAGGAGAGGCTGACCCTCAGGGCTACAAAACCAAGGGTTTTATGGGGTAAATATGGAAGTAAGGCAAGGCTGACCCCCAGGGTACAAAAGCAAGGGAGGTATGGGGTAAGTACGGGGTAAGGCTTTGGCAGGCCCGGGCCATGGCGGTAACGCCCGGCCCCGCTCCTCGGGCCTGCAACAGCCGGGTGCTGGCACAGGCAGAGCTCCCACCCGCTCCCCAGCTCGGCGTTTGCTCCTCGCCT